CGAATCAGAGTGAAAACTACGAAAAGCTGAAAGGAACACCAATGGAATCAACAATTTCTAGATTCATAGCCGAAGCCGTGATGCAGAAGCTGGAGAAGGAGGTACTACCAAGAATAATGCCAAAACCTTGGCTCCGATACGTTGATGAGACATTCGTCATCTTGAAGAAGTCGGAACGAGGAAGAACATGCAACATCATCAATAACTCATTCAGTGGCATCAAGTTCACAATGGAGACCGAGAACGATAAACAACTGGGACGTTTGGACATCTTGATCATCAGAACGCCATCAGGAAAAATGGAGACAACGGTCTACCGCAAAGCAACGCATACTAATCAAATCCTAAACTTCAAAGTAAACATCCACATAGTCACAAAAGATGTTGTGTTAGAACCTTGTCCGGAAGAATCCAAACACACTGCGGCACAGATATACTCTAAAAGAAAGAAGAAAGATACATCCTCAGAGTATCGGCTAGCAAGGCTACACCCGCAGCTTCATCAAAAGAACTCTGACTCAAATAAAAAATAGAAACAACCGACGGAGAATCGGGAATAAGAACGACCCTGCCATACATCAAGGACGTTTCGGAAATGACAGTAAGCTCAGATCATATGGACTCCAAGTCGCTACCGTCTGTCTAACGAGACTTCTGTGAAAACCAAAGGAGAGAACAATGGAGAAGTAAAAGAGCAGTGCTATCTACAAAATAAACTGCAAGAACTGCTCAAAACACTACATCGGAAAAACTGTAAGAAAACTGTCAACAATAATCCGTGATCACCAATTGGCAGTCAGGAGACATGACCCACTATCGTTGATTTGTCTACACGAAGATCAAGAAGGACATCAGTTTGACTTCGCTTCAGTGAAAATTATCGACCAAGCCCGGTTAAAGCACGCTAGAGAATTTCTCGAAGCTTGGCACTCTTCAAACAACTCAGACACATCGAGCTGAATCACGTGTACACGCCAATGCAAGTAAGGGATCAAATGACGCAACAAAAAAGGTCACGCCGTGACCTGAGAACGGATCGAAGGTGCATTCAGGGTGGATAGACAACCTCCATCTCTCCCACTCTCACCTTCTCACAGCAGTTCAACGGCGAACCGAGTAGAAAACAATTAGAACAAGGGACAAAAATAGTCGGTGGAGAAGACCATAAGCACTGATGATGTCACTTCGGCTGGGGAAACGTTTGCAAACAAATTGCCAAGCTTGGCGAACAGGCGAAATGGGATTCAGTTCACCCGAGCTACGAGAACCCATTTTCAATACTTTGTCAACAGATAGTTTGCTGTTTGGGCGGTTGTATCTCATCTGAAGGACGTATTATGTTTGACGTTTTGTCTCGCATAACGAAGGTTTGATTGGCATTTGCCAACTTGAGACATCAAACTGCCTGTGAAGGGTTAAACGTATACTGCATTTGTTCATCCAGTCCTGCTTAGGGTGCATAAACTTAACTTATACGGGAAAAGGTCAAAAGTAGACTTTAAGTGTTCAATCAACGGTGTCTAGATAACGATGAACGCCCGTGGTGGGACAACCGGGCCCGCAATGCTGAGGTCGGGCACAGAGTTTTAGTTACATGGGCTGCACACCTAGGGCGTTCATCCGATCGCCTTCATGAGAACTTCGCGGCTAAGTTTAGCAGTGGAACAATTCAGAAACTTACAAGAGTGGCGTTTTCCCAACTTAATGAACTAAATCATTCTGTTGGTGTGGCGAGTACGTTACGATCAATTTACGAAGCTATTCGAATTCACCGTATCCATTGTATGCGCCAAAAACAATTGTGCGAACATCGGAACTTTCCTGACCCAACACGCATGAAGCCACTCAAACATTCAAAGCTGTAATCGACTTCGCGCACGTATGCACTCACGGCTGTAGTCCGATTGGAAGTTCACACATTGTAATTCACCATTCCCTTTCCCGTGTCGTTCAGTGCAACCATTTTTGTGTATGGGCACGATTAAGTGTGACTTGAAAACAGGCTTGTTCTTCAAGGTTTATTTCACCTCTCGATATGTCAATCGAATACATTATTCCATTTGTTCCGTCTTGGGCTATTTTGTTATGTTATTTATCTGAAAGATGCGACTGACAGACATTATTAAAGGAAAACTGAGGTCTCTGCAGCAAACTATCAATTGCGGTCCAACCAGATTGTCCAACACACCAATCTACACTATTCCGAGAATGGCATTACCGTGCAAGTCTTCCAATCTCCGAATCGGCTAATTCCTCAAAAAGTGAACTACTGTGGGGGAGACAATACGAAACAAGAAAATTTAACTGTTACCGAACAGAGACAGCACATCAATATTTGGATCAGTTTCCCGAGACAATAATGTGTGCTAAACACGTAAAAGACATTTTGGGTAAAATATGCGGGACTTCATGATTTTCTGATGTCAGTACTATACTAGTATGTTCATTTTTGCCAAATATTGGAAGCATATCTGGTTGAAAGATTCACAAACGAGTACGCAGCAAACGTACAGATGTGACCCCATAAAGCAAGGTGATAGATTTATTCTTGATAACTGGCATATCACTACGATCACTGTTGTGTTCTATCTAGGACCTGGTGCTATTTTGCACTTCAGTCGCAGGAATAAAGCGCTTCATTGGGTTAATGTTTCTCTCCATGGAAAAATGAACAACAAGTGCAAAATTGGTAAGCTACGAGACTGAGTCCATTTGGTGTCCTTTTTACTTGACTTGAGATTCAATGATTGATTATTTTCGCCGAATCGGGTCACCAAAGAGAATGAAAACCCAACGGGCTTCTGTTTCGTGCACAAACACGGGCATTTTCTCACCCTGTTGGAATAATAGCCAGCAGAAAGGCATTTTTAGAATATATATATATATATATATATATATATATTTGTATCACCTTTGGTGTGTGTTTGTGTGTATGTGTGCACGTGTGTCAGTTGATTGCACGTTGTACTCAAATAAAACTGAGTGAGAACGATTAGGCGTGTTCCGCGAAAACTGATTGATCTATCTACTGTTCAACGTTCGGAAGAAATTCACACAATTTGTTTGCAGCTTACGGTCATTAATTTTCCCACAATGTGGTGTGGACAAGGGAATTCTTTGAAATCTTAGTTGAATTTTCATTATTTGACCTTAACGTCACACTTAAAAAAACGGTACAAAAGTAATGAAGTAATACGTGAAATATCACCGGTGGGTCGATGTCCAATGTAATACTCGACTAGAGTAATTCGGCTGAACTGTTTAACTGATCAATTTGGAAGAACGTCACGAAACCTTCAGCCTACCTCAAGGCACGCGTTACAAAGGCAATATTGGTGTCCATTATGACATTTGACATGGCAACGTATGAACCCGTGTTCATAGGGTAAATCTCCGAAAGAGGAAGGACAAAAGATAAACGTCGTTTTGTGAATGAGAATGCGCTTTTTTTACACCATTTCACTCTCTTGATGATTGTTTCGCATAGCTTAATGTTACCGGTCGAAGAGGCAATGTGAACGGGAAATTGGACTGCACAGTCGATTTTCTGCAAGAAAAGTGAAACTAGTGTTAATTGACAAACAGGTTTCGTAACCCCAGAAAAAAAATCAATAGGGATAGCACTTTGTACTTATTTGGGTGCAAATTGATTACCCTACCTATTGTTACAAACTTTACCTTCCTCCGATCAAGTCCACTCCAGTCAAGAAATGTTTATGCAACCGAATTGTGAATTTTCAGCGTTGCTCACGAGAATACATCGGAAGTGACCGGTAGGTGGGTGGGAAGACGCAAAAGAATGTGAAGGGATTAAACCATTAGGACAGCGCACTGCAGACGAGAAAACGACAGTAATAGTTTAAATAAATAAATAACTAAATGAACTAACCAGACCTCTAATAACCGGAACCTGGTTCATTAGAATGTAGACAAGTAAAGGGAGGATGCTACTTTCGTATTTGGCGTTGCGTACAGGGATGAGCTTATAATGGGAACGGATACAGGGGTTGGAAATGGATTTAAACGTTCGCTGTTCAAGCAGTGATATTCGTCGTTCAAGATTTTATCTGATATTTTTTCACATGGGTCTGTATGGTTGTGCAGAGTAAAATCAACCGGGGCATTTTCGGCTCTGCCTCTACATTGGGAAAGGATTTTTGTGGATCTGTAAGTTAACGTAAAATCTTATCCTTTCAGGCAGAAGAAAATACCGGGAAACATACAGCAAATGAGGGTGAACGGATGCGACCATAAATTTGGAACTCACATCTATGGAACACCAAGCTTTCTAGACCTGAAGCGTAAAAATCACGTTCACGAACCCTATTGTATGAACATTCTCTACGTGGCTAGTTCAGTCGAGATTGTGGGACAGAACAACGTCGAGGTAGTAAATCTAGTCGACTGAGGGAGTGTTGTGACTGTTTATGACAAGTTCATTAAACATGTTTTTATAAAGGGAGCCAGATTTTAGGTTGCAGGAAATGGTAGTATATTTGGAAACATTAGGCATAAGCAATGGGTGTAGGGATCAACTGAAAACGGTGTAGTTGATAGAAAGATGCATCAGTATTCGGGGGGAGGGGCACTCAATCACAACATCGTCAGCATACTTAAAGGCAATGAAATTGGTAGGGACAGGCAGATTGTTTATCGATAAGGAAACAAAGAAGAGAGACAAAATGGCACCCTGAAAGACATCAGAGGCAACGTAAAAAGAGAATAAAACTTTATCACTGCATGAGAGAAATGGTGTTCTAGCGATAAGCACTTTACAAGAGCGTTGAAAATGTTGGATTCTGAACCGCAATCAGCAAGAAGCTGAATGAGAATGCGACGATCAACTGAACCAAAGGCAGTTGCATAATCGGGAAAAATGGGGTGATCAGGTCCAGTACTTCTGAAAATGCTACCACAGAATGACCAATAAAGCCGGCGGCGTCGGCAACCGGAAAGGGACTAGATGGGAAAGATTGTTTTCCAAATGGGTACCCAAGACTTTAGGGCACGGCATACTTCGCGGTAACCCACACCGATGAAGGGGTTTTTCTTTGGGATCCCGGAGCCGGAGCCTCCGACTCAAAAGTCTGACCCACAAGGCACTGGGGCGTAAATCCAACACGAGAGCGTGAACGAAGCACCCGTGTGGGAGCTTCTACAGACCTGTCACGCAAGGCCTTTGAATTTCGATTACTTGTGTTGTTCGCTGATGGGTTGATTTTCGGTCCGCTTTTCGGGATCAGCCCTTAGCCTCATGCACCCAATGAGACAAGCGGAACGTGGACGGGACAGCACCTTATTGGCTGGGGGCTGCCCAGCTTGGGCGGGCGGTAGCTGTCCAATGAAGTGCGAAGACTTCTCCCACCGTCGAGAGGAAGCCCCAGGTACCCCGCTCCTACGTCCATCCAGCGGGGTTTTTTTGACCGGTAAACTGCCTCTCACTGTGTTTATTTGCTGGAGTGGCCTCTCCAGGGGCGAGTGTGGATAGAAGAAAGAAGCCAGGGGGTGCTCAAGCAGCTGGCTTGTGAGACTGGTCTTCATCTGGCCTCTACCCGTTGACCTTTCAGGCATGATTGGATCTCTGGCTGTGAAAAGCCATCCTGTGTAGCTCGCAGGGTCACTGAGGCGCGTAAGCCATCACATCACGTCAAGGTGCAGTCTCGTCGTGATGGGCAGCCGGAAAGGAATATTTATAAGCTAACTGAAGAGGATCAAAAATATCAGAGAGAGTAGTCGACCGGTTCAACAGTACTCCTTCAAAGACTTCTCAACAGAACTGAGGTACAGGTAATCGGTCGATACTTTGAAGAACCCTTCCTGAGAATGGATCTTTTCTAGGCAACCTTCAAGAAATCCGGCACTGTTCCAGAGGAAATACAAAATTCAACAACTCGGTAATGGGTGCTCCTACGTGTTCGGCACAGGCCTTGCTAAACTTAAGTCGATCGAAGACACAGGGTCCATGTNGGATGGTATTGAATTGGAACCAGATGAGACAGAAGATTGTTGACTTAATCACTCTCGATTAACTTTTAGGGAACTAAAATATCCACGTGGGTCAGTAAAGGTCGCATTCCACCAACAAATGTCCAGAAATCCAGAACTGATACCTTTCACGACTTTAATTAGAGTACATGTGTTAGCCAGTCTGTGCTTTTGGTGCAGATTCACTATGGATACGACTGATGAAGTTCATTATAACTGAACTGATTGGCCACCAGGAAAGCTGTCGGAGAAAGCTAAACACATGCTGCTTTATATGGCTTCAAACTTCGTGAGTCACGCGTAGAAGATCAAGTGATGCTTTTGATGAACATTTTGGTGCAAACCCAAGGAGATAAAAGGTTTCCTGGATGAAATTGGAGTTAACAGTGTATCATCTTTGTCTCCCTTCGTTGCTGTCCGGCCAAAATGAACTGACTATCACTGAGGACGACACCTGAAAAAACATGAATTGGCTACTTGGTTCAGCCATGGTATGAGCTGGTTGGCACAGTGCTAACGCACACACCTTCCATGCTATGGGTCCGGAGTTCAAATCCCGGACGGGACGGTGCATATGCACTACTGATGAGCTCTAATAAGAGTGAAACTGGAGTCCAGTGCTTCCGAATGTATGGTTGAATCGATGAACTGAGGATTGTGCGTGAAGATGAAGTTCGAAGGATATTCAGTTCAAATCAATAAAAAACAATTATTCCACACAATTACTCACAGGTGAGTCAGATTCTAAGTGAGAAGGCACAAAATCCCACATTTTGCCAAAAGTAAAACATTTATGGTTGGCCGAGACGCACGGAGCTTGAACAAAGCATTTAATCTGTATATGGGATTTTGTCATGTGCAGAGGTAAATAATAGTAAACTAAATGCTGGGAAGCATTGTCCTTTCATTTTGACTTGACTGTGTTGGAACTGTATACAATTATCTCGATACTGGATTCGCAAATGATCACTTTCCGAATAACGTTTCCGGTCCAGATAGAACTCCACAGGCAGGGATATAGAAAACAGCTGGAAGCATTTATTATGCAAAAGTTATCGTTCTTTTTATAAAAGCGAGAGGTTATGAGAACGCATATATACAACGATTAGTTAACTGGATTGCTTTCAACCTTCTTGATTGGCTGGTGACTTCGACTAACCACCCGGGTTCGGCTCTCCTTGTTCTGATTGGTCGTCCCAGAAAGGAGCAGTCTACAGATAACATCTCATCAGCAGTGCAAGTTCAAGTTAGATGGGTTTGGTGAGTGTAACTATTACAGGCATGATGCTGCTGCTAACCGGATTAAATAAGAGAACTACGTGATGAGATAGATTGTGTGATGATTTCGAACGATTATTATGAGGCCACTTTCCGCTAAGACAATACCGTGTGTCAAAACTCGTATCTGACAGAATGAGGGTTGTTATTTCGCGGTATGAAAACTATGGTGGTGCGGACGTCAGCCCTCACTTGAATCCAATAGAAAGTATTTTGGTTACTCTTACCGTAAAGCGATGTCGAGATGCAATAACTTAAACCAAACAAACATGGTTTGGAGGCATCTTTGGACAGTGAGTAGATGAACATTGAATAACCAAAATTTCCTACAAGTTGTGCCCTGATGTGTAGCATTTAATGACAGAATAATCAACTCATTTGCTATTACATTGAGGATTTGAATAGCAAAGTTTTTTCAGGATAGGTGTGTGTGTATGTGTGCAATACTCCAGTAGCTGTGACCGCTGATTCTTTGGTAAATTGTAGTGAATATGAAATAAAATTTGATAAAATTCTGTATTTTAGCTTCTTGGTTAACTTCCGTCTAGATTCTTGAAAATGATGATGATCTTGCCTACACAGGCAGGTATGACCCAACACTCTAGGGGGTAGGATACTTTTGTTGTGGGGTTTTTGTCTACTAAACATGCTTTTTATATCCAAGACCTACTCACCTAAACCTGGTGACCGGTCATTGGTTGGGAGATGGAATTAGTATTCATACCTCACATATAACCCGTTTCGACGCACTGATTTTAGGCTACGCTCAACAGGTGATTTCCAATGTATCCTGGTTAGGTCATCCCTCTGGCTTTATATCCCTATCTCGCAACATACAGCTATTTTCTTAATCAAAACACCCCATCTCTCTATTGTTATTTCATTGGACTTTTGATTCCTTACCCCCTGCTACTGACTGTCACTCGCCTTCTCATCCTGACATGATCTGATTGATGAAACTGTGATTGTTTATGTATGTGACCACGTGAAACAACATATCAAAAACGATTTTCCGTGAGAACGCACTTTTCTATGCTGTTTGTGTGGGAACATTCTACAAATTTTACTCAAGTTTCACCCAACCATTCAAACCAAATGAATGTGAGTTGTTTGTTCACTGTTGCTTCTCAAAATAAACTTTTCTACTGGACCGGCAAAAAGTTGATTAATGTCAAATCAATGAAACTTTTCAACTTTGCTTTCATTATGCCACTACTGGACTGGTGATTGTCATATTTTTTGTACATCTTTCTGGACTTACAGCTGTCATGATTGATGGATTTTATTCGAGTGTGGATTTCAACGGATCGATTCCAGTGAATTTGGTTCAACTGGTAATCTGTATTGATCACGTATATTACCCATGATTTGACCATAATTAAAATGATTTGACAGCGATGAAAACAATGATCAGATTCAGTTGCAGACGTTTTGGTTTTCGTTGGAGTGGACATCAGTGGAAACCCCGGTGAATTAATAGTATGGAAGCGCTCGTCAGGAGACAACCAACTGATAACATCAAATCTTTCAGTGGATCGTGTTACCAGGCATAAGCAATCATGGTGTTATTTATTCTGGATTTTATTCCCGCTAGTGTTGATCGAAGTGAATCAGATTTCTTCTTGAGCACTTATTCAGATGCCTTGAATTGTAAATTCATCCACTCTTTCAAATTTAAATTTTTAGTTACCCACACCAATACAGGTTAATTGCTTCTTTTCTCTATCTACTTCCTATCATTTGTCCCACATCATTGACGTTATAGTTTCTGCTTGTAAACAAAAGCCTATTGGTGTGCATTGCTGTCTGGAAATGAAATCTTGGGTATACACCACAAATTTGTCACATTTGGGTGTTGTGTTTCTGAAGATATTCAAACGATGCAAGCACATTCACTGGACAATGAATTATGCCATAAAATTAGTACGTTTGATCAGTAAGCGGCTTACCTTCTGTCTCTATTCTCCTTAAATTATAAAGTTTTGACAACACCGAATAAAGATAGAAAAAAAAGTTTGTTATCGTACAGTATTCAAGATAGATAGAAACCCTTGTAGCAAATTGAGTTCTATGCATCAGGGGAACGTGAATCATTCCAGTCAATCGAAGTCCGTTACATATTTTAACGCTTGAATATTCCCATGATAGCCTTGAGAAAACGAGTCGGTGAGCAAACGATTGTTTTTGGATATTCCTAGTCATGCTCCTACATATCATATAGTGGAAAAAGTCTTAGATAACGATAGCCATTGGCTCAATTTAAGGTCATTAATCAGAGGCAGAGAGTAATGGAGGTGTATGCGTGTGTGTGTGTGTAGGAATGTTTAGCGTGTTAGTTAATGTGACCTTTCCCCACCTGGGTCAAGTGACAAGTCATGATCTGTCTTGGTTTTCACATCCGGCCAAGGCAATTAGAGCGCCTGCACCAGCTGTTTTTGGGCGCGTAGGTTAGGGCGATCGCCTCGGCCATGGCCAGTGTCCAAACTCGGGTCGCCTTCGATTGATTGAGTGGAATACGATAACAATATCGAAAGCTTTCTCCGGTTTGATCTTGTGTCCGGTGTCGACGAGATGCCCCACGATCGCGCTTGAGATACAGCCAGTCTTCCCCTGACTTAACGATCGCGGGTGGTGCTCCTTAACGCGCTGAGACAAACGCCCTACCGTACGACCTATGTAACATGCGCCACAGACGCACTTAAAAGAGTAAATTATCATGGACGAGGTCACCTTCGGCAGTTTGTGTTTCACTTTCATTGGCATCACCGGTGATGTATGAACAGTTTGACTATACTGACAGATCGCGATCAAAACCAATACCACTAAAGTGCGAACTGAATGGTTGTACACACTGCAACTGAAATAAGCAGGTAGTCGTACAGACATCCGGTTGAGAAATTGGCTGTATTTCGGTCACCGCAACATTTTATTTAGGCTATATTGCTACTTTGGGGCTTACCGAACACAGAAGCTAATGAGCTTAGGAAAACACAAACATCTTTCACACAAACACACACATGTGCACACATCAAACGTACCTCCATGTCCAGTTGTGGAGGCTTGTTATCCAGTAATCGTTGATACTGAATCAGCCAATAGTCCATTTGGTCCTGCTGTTTTCGCTTTTCCATTTCCATCTGTAGTATCAGATGTGACCAAGGGATATGGAGAGAAGCTCAAGTTACAACTTACGGGAGGAAACAGAGTTGCATAGAGAAGGGGTGGTGATGATGGTGAACAGCTGAGGAAAAGGTTGCACATTGTAAAGCTTTACGCTAGGCGATGGGCTAATAGGGGGATACCAATGTACATCCACATGTTTGTAATTAAAGTGTGCAGTAAAAAATATCGAATCAGGTGAAATAACATCATTTTTTCCATCTTGTTCGACTACAATGACTTCAATAACAACTAGAGAGTGTTGTGATGATTGCAAGCAGTAGTAGCGAGTGAACCGACAATAACCAACAAACAACAAAAGATCGGAAAGTGTAAGCTGAAACAAATGACAAATTACCTTCATTCTTGTTCTTTTGATTCTCTGTAATTACTTGTTTTCCATATCATTTTCTTCGGAACCTCGATTCCTCCATACCTCTAATTATTGCTATTGCGTTGATACAATACTTAATCGCAAGCTTGTGATACACACACATCTGTATTATAGCTCACAACGAGGATAAAACTATGGTTCAGTGCATTTTTTTGGTGGTCCCAAAAACGTCCACTGTAAATTGAAAGCATTAAACCAGTGAAGAATACCAGAGCTCCCATAGAGTGAGACCCACTTAAGAACAACAACACGCAGATCCCGGTATCCGTAAATTTGTACGAACCAAAGAGGACTGTAAATTATTATAGCCATTCGCTTAACGTGTTGACTATAACTGGCGGTTCGAATCCCGACTGGGATAGGAAAAGGTACAAACAGCTGTTCATCAAACGATGCATCAGTTGTCTCACTTTTGCTATCCATTCAAATGAGTGAGAGAGATAGAAAGGAAGAGAAAACTGTTTATGCAATGGGAGTTCTCCATATAGCTTCTATATGTTACCCATCATTGGAAAAGAGACTCAGCGGGAGTAATTAGCAATGCACATCTACGGAATCTATTTGAAATCAGAAATGATGCGACAACTTTCGGTGCATCCTAATCTTGGGGACTGCAATCAAGTCTGCGAGGGGGTCTCTTTCACGTCTCTCATGGATCGGGTTCAACGTAAAGCGATACATCAAACAGCTGAATTTGTTCGGGCAGTCAGCAATCCACAAGCGGGTCGAGGTTTTCCTCCCTCGTCTATTGAAATCATCCACGTGTTTGGAGAGCGTCAGTGTTCTCAATGCTCCTACGGTTCACCTGACGGCCAAATAAGTGGATAGAAAGTCAGCCTTAAGGAATGACGGTTTTCAACCACTTTGGTTTTGTTAATTCTCTGCGAACCGCGTATCACCCCCCCCCAGCCACAAATTCTCAATCATGGGATCAACAGATTAATTTCGACGTCTATATTCTCTCAAAGCTCGCCACTTCTTCAAAAATTGTTCTTTCCGATATAATTCATGTTTACTATGCAGTGAGCGATATTTTATGTTGGAAAGCAAATTGACAGTGTGAGGCAGACCATATATGTGACATGGTAGAGATGAAGCAGAATTTTCGTTTATCTGGAAATCAAAATGGGCGATGAACCAGGCAATCCTAACCTGTTTGTCTATTCGTTCCTCAGTGTGTCCGAAACAAGACAAAAGAATGACACATTGAATCCGATTTCAGGAGAGACGGAGCGCTAATCTTTAGAGAGAACTAGCGAGGACTTTTTGGAATTCCCGGATTTACCACCAATATCCCAAACACTGGACCAGCTGGTTAAGAAACAATCCTGCTTCACATCGGATTGTATGTTTTGTTATCCTCTTTCTACCACAAAAAGATCCGGAAGGAAATGCCGTTAAAAAAACGACGACAGGTCCGGAAGTAAACTAACCAAGCGTTGTTGCAATTCGTTTTGACGACGTCGCTGATCCTTGCTCAATTGCAATAACAAGTCCAACAACTCCATTCGACGCTCGGTCAGTGTGCGCTGATTGATTTCCGTGCGTTTGGCCTTCCGATCCTGCTCAGCCATAGTCAGACGACACAGTTCTTGTTCAATCAGGCCGATTTCACGTCGCAGACGTTGTGCCTGACTATCTTGTTGGGCTAACAATTTGGCAAACGCATCTCGCTGTGCTTCTTCCTATACGTGCGCGCAAGTGGAACAGTGGGAGGAGGTAAGGAATAGGGATGTTCGGGTGAGTTCTTGTGATAATAAAAAAAACGCGCCGCAAAGGTGATTAGTAACGATTACCCTGTGGAATTTGGACTAAATCAATCAATCAATAGAAAATATAAACAGTTAAGTTTATGGTCAAAGTACATTTAAATAGGACCTCGTAAAACCTATGAACCACTAATATTGCAGCATTGGATATCAATCTCCAAAGTGTACAAAAATAATTGCAATTAATAGCCGACGAAATCTTTGCTTAATTTAATATGACAATGGTGGGGAATTACTAAATGATTTAATCCGATCCGGGATGGATCAATCATGAAACGGTTTGACGAAGTTGAATATTGATTTCCCTAGTCCATCAAAATTCTCGAGAGGAATATTTGGAGTAGAATAGACCAAGCAGGGTTGTTTAGTGCAGGTTCAGGTAAGTGGTGACCTATATTGCATAGTTTTAGTGAGAATACCGAAGGCACCGTTGGCGATTGCCGATTTGGGAGATTTACGGTACCGTCGGAGTAAGTGTTTAACCTTTTTAAATTACGTTGGCTTGAGCATGTACTACGAATACCACCTGATAGGCCTCCACTACGACGTGCAATGTTTGCTGAGCCAGGAAGTCGGTGGAAGAAATCCACCAGTGGTTAAACTAGGAAGAGAGTGTGAAATTCCTGACCGGAGCACTCAGACGCATCAAGCTACCAGCTGGGGACGTGGGGATCAGTCTAGTCGAGGGTTAGAGATACCGAGTGATACGGTTATATCATTATCAATGGCGCTTGTGTAGTCCATCGCTCTCTTCACAATCTTAGTCTGCCTGAATTTGGCACCACACGGACACTTCTTCCAGCATTCTCATTTTTCCGTCTGCTACTCCTTTCGAAAGACAACAACCAAAAACTTAGAGCGAAGGTGCAAGTTTAATGGTTGTTGTTATTGTTGTGATTTACTCAGGTATCGAATCAGGTAAAGCGATTAACGTAAAA